AGAAATCGGCCCAAAAGTCATCAGCCATTATACGGATGATTCGACGCACCTTCTCCCGTATTACTTGCATGAACTTCTAGACACTCTATGGGGTCTACGTCAGACCGCTCCTGGAATACGCCAACCAGTATGTCCACTTAGGACGCACGAAAGACGTCATCCTCATTAAGCGCGTCCAGCGAGCCACTATTAGAATGGTTGCCCGCCTCAAATCCGTGGACTAAGAAACGCGTCTCGCGATGCTTGATCTCCTTCCCCTGGGGCATCGCCACCTTTGAGAGGGCCTAATTATCACTTACGCCCTGTTCGAACAAAGCTTGGCAAACAGGTTTTTCACCGTTGACCCAGCAAACACACGGTGGGGACATGGTAAGAAAATTTTCAAGCTCAGAGCACATACATTCATTAGACAAATTTTTTTCTAATTTCGGGCAGTAGTTGTGTGGAATGATCTTCCTCCGAAGGCAGTCCACGATCCATCTAGAGCCCAGTTTAAAGTACTATTAGATATTAATTTATGCAAATCCTCGCGCCAAAAGCATACTGTCCCGCGCTGTGAACATACAGAGTAGTGTGCTACACCCTTTTTTCACTTGTGCCTTTCAGATGAACGACAGCCACTGACCGACAAGAACAAAACCGACCCGGGAAATTTGGGCAAAAGCCTCGATCCTGTGTATCAATCCGTGAGTCCGTGAATCCGTTTTCCACAACTTTTACGGACCTTTTCATTCAGGAATCAGAGCAACAAAGAGGTTGAATGGTGTACGTTTTTTACGGCCCTACACAAGTAAAGATCCAAAATCTTGGGCCAAACAGCGTATCGCCTGTCAGTGCAGTAATTTGGCATACAAACTCATATATCGGTCCATTTGCAGCTCCTGATGCTCGATTCATACACGTTGGTCAACTTCGCCCGTCAAACTATTTCACTCATTCTCACCTTGTTGGTCAGTAGCTGAACTCATTTAGGATATTTCGGCTGAAACGGTAGCCCTGCTTTTGCAGTACTTGGTGATTAACTCTAACACACCCCTCCGTTACTACCGATCGCGGTTCACAATTCCGGTGTAATCACTTCGACACTATTCGGTTCCCATCAGATTTCGACAACCGCGTATCACCCCTATTCCAGCGGTCTGGTTGAACATTTCCAGCGCTACCCTAAAGCAGCACTGACAGTCCGAATGAATCCGTCTTCGTGGTCGTCTTCCTTACTTTTCATTTTGCTTACTATTCACTCCAATATTAAGGAGGATCCTCACTGCTCACCAGCCAAACTACTATCTTGTACAACTTTAAATTTACCTGGTGAAATCGTGTTCACATCTATCGCAGAGCTCGACCCACCCGTCACATTGATCACCCGTCTGGAACCGCATGTCTGAATTTCGTGCGACGCCGACAAGACGATAACACGAAAAGAGCACAACTCAACCCATCTCGCCTTTACAACATTCGTATTTGTAAGGCATGACGCAACAAAAAACCTCTACAACCATGTTATGATGATCATTCCAAGTCATCGAACGTCATTTTGAATACTTTGTTTAAGAGAAAAAACGGAACGCATGATACGGCCTCCACTGATCGTCTCAGGCCTGCCTCCGTTGAAGCGCCCACGACCAACTCCAACAATCCCGCTATCCTATCAGCACTCGCACCCGCACATGAAACCAATAGAGTCAACCTTGTTCCCTTCACTATTGGTTCTGGGCGTCGCGTCCGTCTTTCTCAGAGAGACTCCCTCAGGAGTTCCCCGTGAACAAAAACGATATGCAAATGGGTGTATTTTTAAAAGCACACCATTTTTTCCTTATCCTGTATACGCCGCGTCCGCCCAATCGACGTGATGGTCGCATTTTGGATTATCAATTTTATACCCCTCCTGTTGATGATGTACGTCTTCGCCAATCGTTATCCTGAGCATGAAAATCGTACTTCCGAAACTGTCGTGCTTTTGTGTTTGCCGCTTCATTTACTACATCTTTACGGCTAATTTGTTTAAGCGGATGCCTCCAAGGGCTTGAAGTGGATAACTGTGTTTATTGAAGCATTATTTAGCCGAGCCTTAGACGGACAAACAAAATTTCTCTGAAACCGTAGTTTTAGGGAAGGATTCTTTAACATGAAGTTTCAGCATTTAATAGTACATAGGCTGCAGCAGTGTTTTAGAAGTTGTTTAAGCGAACTCGGAGCCAAAAGTGTACGCAGAATTCGTGATTTAACGGTTGTCAATAACTTCGTGTACGATATCTGTGGAAACGGCTAAAACTTTTGTAGAAGCGGTCCGTTTATTCTGGCGTTTTCTCTCGGATTTGGAAATGATCTCAAAACGGCGTAAAGAATCGTTACGCCCTCTCTGTCCAGGCAAACTGAAAACAGAGCGAACATTCGCAACCAAAAATTCTGCGGTACCGCGGGCGTCCCAAACAATTTAAGGAGTTTGTCACAGCTGGTAAGTATTTTTTGTTTTTGTGTTGGTTAGCACACGCTACATCTGGCGCAAAACAAGCTTCAATTTTCGGTGGCATACCGGACCACCAGCAGTGCCCGTCGATGAATTAGTGACTTTATAAGCAGAACAAGATAGCCGGTGCTTTCAAATCCTGGCACAAATTAAACGGACAGAGACGGTTTTGTGGGTGAACTTAACGCGCTGGTGAAGAAAACATTAGGGAAACGGTGAACAACGGGAAAGCCATCGAACTGGGAAGGTTGGTAGCAATACCGTCATCGCAAAGCCCTACTTGGTTCCGTTGACAGCCCCGTACATGAGCACCTTGAGTAAACCGTTGATGGCTGTTATCATGATTGATATTTTTCAAAGAGACATGCATCAGGATATCCGTGGGCTCATCAAACGCGCACTGTGTTTCATTGCTGCTATTCAGCAGAAACAACAAGACAGCCATTTCGTCATTTGAGACCCAAAATGGGAAAGTGTCAAAAAAGATGTGCTTTCGAGCACTCTGATGCGATTTAGCCCGCGGCCTAAAATAACAGGCTGTGAAAAGTGGTCACAATTCCTTAACTACTTCAGTGAGACAACATTTCCTTATTTCGAAAACGGCAATCGATTTTCTGAAGTAGATAACAGCTATGCGGTGGATGCGAACGGATGCGAACATGTGTAATTGTAGGAGACGAGCATTAGCTAGCTTTTGCGCAACTAAGCTCAAAGCTTGCAAAGACATAAGGTCAAGGATATCTGGTGGTGTTGTAGGATTACGTGAACTCAGAATCGTACTTTTACATCCTAAGGAAGCCGTGGAGGCCCTTCAAAACGAGTTGCCTATGAGGCGTCATTCTATGTGTGTTTAGTGACTCACTTGGCATTTTTTGCCAGGCTTTCAATTAGTTTTTCCAATAAAGGGAGAATCGCCCGCTACATATGCTGCAACCAGGGTAGTCCACGCCGATGGCCCAGGTGTCCGACAAAAGTTACTTTTTCAGCTAGATCGTTGTCATCATCTTAGACAGTTGTATCGCGTCAGATTTGCCTGTCTTAGTACCTCATTGTGATTTTGGAAGGAAAGATAGGCTGCAATACTTCGACATGAACGACATA